TCCCCCCCCCCTAAGCTAGAGCTCGCTTGATCTCTCCCGCTGCATCCGAGTTCGGGTCTTTCCTTGCCCCGCTAAACCCGAGCACAGGTAATTGAGTTTACATAGAGAGAGAAAAAAGGGGGATTCCGACAAGAAGCGGGACCGCTGTAGTCGTGTTCTACTGTACAACTACAGCAAGTTCAGCAGTAGCCTAACCAAAGTTAAGAAGTGCCAAACAAAATTTTTGCAGGAAAAGCTTTACAAAATAAAAATTTTCAATAAAACAGGCATCGGTATCTGCGATTTGGTTTTTTTAAATTTTAAATTCCCATTCGAAATTCATTCAACTCGCTGTTTCTGTTTGAAGGGCTTGTAAAATAAAAACAGGCATCTGAGAGGAGGGCGACATTGCGAGAGGAACATGAGTCAGATCTGATTCTAGAAGCCGCAATTTTCATAGCAACATATTCAAGGCTTTCTTTGACTTCCGCTCCTGTTGGGAACTGGATGGATACAGTTTTGTGTGTGAAGTGAAAGAGATATCTTGTACACAGGGGAACCTCTTCAGCGATATATTCACGGATGAGCAGATACTGATGTTCCAGATCTTTGCTCATAAGTGCAAAGCTTACCTACTCTTTAAAGTTGGTCTTGCACGGGCTGTGTTATTCTATTCTTCATGGGGTGTTTCTTAGCCTCCAGAATTCTGCCTTTTGTGTGATGATCTTTGCAATCTTCCATGGGTTGTATTCCCGAAGTCGCCTTAAATTCAGTTATAAATTGCAGCTGATTTAAGAGCTGCTATGATGGTAAGAGCAGCCTGGTTTTAAACTTTGTTGTCTCAGTCAAAGTGGACTTGACACAGGTTCCCCATGCAGCCATGCCATATTCCAAGACACATTGAACTTTTCCGGTGTACAGCCTCTTGAGAGTTCTGGCAATGATCCCAGTAAAACTGTATCTCTAATTTTTTACTACTTGGTTAGGAAAAAAGGTGTTATTGTGAAAATCTAATAGTCAAGGAGAAAAGTGGTCTTCTTACACAGGTGCATGATCATCTTGTCACTATATTTTAAAAACGCAAGAGGGGGAAGTGGGGATTGGTCATTTGTACATGTGATTGTCATAGACAGGTAATCGCTAAAGCAGGTTAGACTGATATATAATATATACAGTCCAGTCCATGTATAACAGTCTCTGCTATGACAGGAATTTGGATAAAACAGTGATAAATCAAATCCCTGTTTTTTTTGGGTCTCTATTTATTATAAGTGTAGGTAATGTGAACAAGGTTCACATTTGCGCAGACCCGGATTTATAACAGTGATCTAGCAGCACATGAACTTGCTTTTGATCCGTCAAATTAATAAAATTTGTCTCAACCAAGATATTTCGCTTGTTTGTATGATATTGCCTAAACACAAACTTTCAACCCCCCACCCCCACCCCGGGGTTGGGGTCACTGATCGATTCCATCTCAGTGTCAGCAAAACAGCCCACTGGGAAAGGATCTGCGGCAATTGAATATAATATAGGCGGAAGGTACAATGATACTGGTAGTTTCCATTGATAATGGTTATAACAGGACACGCTTATAACAGGGAAAAACTGCTGGTCCCGTCTGTTCTACTATATCTGAGTTTCACTGTAACATGGATAGTTTGAATTCGTCGGGATCGGCCTCAGTAGCTCAAGGGATCTGTAGTTCAACGAATACCTTACAAAGATTAAGAATTTTTTTTATGGGACCGCAGGCAAAGATCGACCAATGCCTGATTTCGAGTCTTCTGCGTTCGACCTATCCGTGTTATGGTATAGTTATACTGTATGTATATACAGTCGCTTTTAAGCACAAGGGGGCTATCCCGGAAAATGTAAAGTTTTGGAACCCTTGTTCAGTTTCTTTAAAAGACAAGGAGAGTTTTCTCTATAACTAAACAAATGTACACACCAATGAAACCAAACTTCTCCAATAGGTAGGGCAATACCCACTTTTGGTGTAGATCAAGATTTCTCGAAACCCCCGAAATCTGGGTTTAGGCTATGGGTTACTGGGAGTGAACCTCC